AAAAGACAAAAAATGGTTTTGGTCAAAAGAGTGCGAGACGGCTTTTCAGAAAATAAAAAAATGCCTACTCTCAGATCTCGCTTTAGCACATTATGATCCTGAGAAAGAGATCATTCTAGCAACTGACGCAAGTTTATACGGAGTGGGTGCTGCACTGCTACACAAATATGAAGATGGTACTACCAAACCTATCGCGCACGCATCAAGGACTCTTCTTCCGGCTGAAAAAAATTATAGCCAGATCGAGAAGGAGGCTTTGTCGATTGTGTTCGGAGTTAAAAAAATACCACCGCTTCTTACATGGTAGATCATTTGTACTGCAAACGGATCATAAACCGTTACTTTCAATATTTGGAAGTAAAAAAAGGCATTCCTACGCATACAGCTAATCGATTACGGCGATGGGGTGTAACCCTACTTAATACCATTTTAGGATGGAATACGTCAAATCTAAAGAACATGGTCATGCGGATGGATTGTCAAGGCTGATTCCAAAAAGGAAGAATTGTTAGAAGAGACGGTTATAGCAGCATTAACTGAGGAAAAAAAATCTCAGGTCTCTTATTGAATACAATCAGGGAATTGCCAGTAACATTGGACAAAATAAAAAAAAAAAGCGGAAAAAGATCACTATATTGTGAAATTAAAGAACCAGACGAAATGGAACAAAAGACAGAAAAAAGGAACTCAGATTTCACCTTTTTCAATTTGCGACAACACGTTGATGTACGCAGATAGAATTGTCATACCTCAATCTCTACGGACAGATATACTGAAAGAATTTTCATACCGGTCATCCTGGAATGTCCCGGATGAAATCACTCATGCGTAGTTACGTATACTGGCCAGGAATGGACAAGGATATCGAAGATTTTGTAAAAGACTATGTAGAGGTTGTCAATTGGCTGCAAGGGCACCTCCGGTCAAAATGAATCCTTGGCCTAAAACGGATTTGCCGTGGGCACGTCTACATATAGACTATGCTGGACCAATCAATGGACACTATTATTTGATATTGGTGGACTCTTTATCGAAATGGCCTGAAGTAGTCAAGTGAAAGCATCCTACATCTAGGAACACCATCAGTGCATTGGATGAAATTTTCAGTCGTTTCGGGGTTCCCAGAACATTAGTTAGCGACAATGGTACGGCGTTCACAAGTATGGAATTTAAGGATTTCTGTACCGCCTTAGACATTGAACACATAACTACACCAGTGTGCCATCCCAGGTCGAACGGTCAAGCCGAGAAATTTGTCGACACTTTTAAACGTGCTTTACGTAAAAATAAGGTATAGACACTGAAGAAAGAACTATTCAAAAGTTTTTAGCAATCTATAGGGTAACTCCTAATGAGAACAATAATGCGAAAATGTCACCTGCGGAAATTATGTTCGCAAGAAAAATTAGATCAATTTTCGATAGATTGTTACCCTATCAAAACAAAAAAGTTGCTAAAAAGACGAAAAAGTCAATATAAAAAATACACACCAGGAGACAAAGTTTTTTTAAAAACTTTAAAAGTGGGAAAAGCTTTTGGATGGATGGCATAATCCAGAAAAGGATTGGTAAAGTGGTCTACATGATTAAAAGTAATAAATTTGTGTAAAGACACATCAATCAGATTAGACCACGATATGGTGAAGAAAGTGAAAAAAGCGAAGAAGAAATTCGATGGAAGTGTTATGCGATGCTTTTAACATGACACTACCAATAGTGTATTGGAACCTGTATCATGATGAACCAGCCTTACGGGCTGAAAGCGGAAATTATCTTCGCCAAAAAAAGGATCAAATTGCGACGACTGAAAGAAGGAGCACACTGCAAAGAAAACCAGTGGGCGTTTAGTCCGGATCCAAAAAGAAGACGATATTAGAAGCAGAAATTTTCAAAAGGAAGAATTTCAGCTTCGGGGGAGGTGTTGTGATGAAATAACCTGACTTCCCTATTCACCATAAATGGACGTTCGGTGGCCGATGCCGACCACAGTAAACAGTCCAGGGAGGATCAACAGACAACAAAGGTCTTCGTTGACTACACCATTCGGTTAGCTTACTCCTACCTGTCTCTGTATTTTGACATTCCTACATTCCGATATAAAGTATTATTATTTAAACCACCACTCGGGTTTACTTTGTTATTATATCTTTTTGCGAGATATAACGACTGGCGACTAGATATAACAGTATCAATGCCTGAAGAAATATATTTCAGTTAGATTAACAGAATGCTCCTTTCACCCCCACCTACCAAAAAACAAAAACAAAAAAAAACAACAAAACAATAAATGAGGTTTTAATTACTTTGTATCTGCTAATGATAAAAATTACTGGTGACTGAATTTTGTTCATGGAGAACTCTTTTCACAGTAAAAATGGTTAAAGCTTAGAAACTAAATTTTTATTGAGATTATTTTAAAGAACATTAAGAGAATATACATCCCTTATTTTTCTAAAATAAAATTCCTTTATTTACTCAAGCCAAGGTAAGCAAGCTTTATAATTAAAAAATAACACTGATTAAAGTGGGGATGATGATGAAACTTTAAGAATACAATTCTCTTGAAATAATAAAGAATCAGTTATACAACAACCAGCTGACTTTAATAGAGCTGCAAAGATCTTAACTGAACATAATAATATTATAATCCGAAGGAGTGCTAAAAAGTTCTTGCCACTAACCACTTTCCAAAAATATAAAGTTGTATTTGAAATTTCATGTGAAAGCCAAAAGATATGAATTGAGCTCTCTCAGTCATTGGTGTGTTTATTCAAAGAAAAAGTACATAAAAAAATCCGCCTTCCTCTCTACCAGGCACTGATAGCTCGAGGCAAAATCTCCGACTGATGGGGCTTCAATCCCTGCTTGAGGTAATCGGATGCCTAGCCACACTGATGAGCTGTGATACAGCAAAACAGTCCGTCTGTGGATGACAATATATATGTGTGTGTGTGTGTGTGCATTTATAAATATCAAATAACAGAAAAACTGTTTATAAGAAGATAAGAAATCAATTCAAATGCAACTCATTACATTTTATTAGCTTTTGGATCAGATTTCTATTGCAAAATAACTTTAAAATTAAATGTTGGTTAAAATTCTTCTTTTATGTGCCATGTCCCTTCAGGACATGGGCGATCATGGTTCTCCACAATTTCCTGTCTTTTGTAGCTCTTAGTAAATTTGGTATTTTCTCTAATCTCCATTCTGCCAACCATTTACACAAGCTCGTTAGGTAGGTTATGTGCAACTTTCCTCTCTCTGTCTATATATATCTTACATATAAATTTTCCAAGACCTCTTTCCTCATTATGTGCCATAGAAATTTCAACTTTCTCTTTCTGATGTTTCAGTGTCCTTGTTGTTTACTCTTGAATAATCTTTTTAAAATGGTTACTACAACATATTCTACAAAAAACAAATCCAGTATCCTTACTGGACTATACCTATGTTTGAACTTCAGAACTTCTAAGTAAGCTTTTCTAAAATAAAACAATCTTTATCCCTATTTTGACTAGAAATCAATTTATTAGCAGAATTATATTTTGTCTTAAAACTGATAAGAGATAAATAACATTCATTATGGAGGCAAAGTATATCAATCTAATATTGCATCAACTGCAGTGTCATAAAACAATAAGTGAAATAAAGACAACGATTTATTATCTTAGAGATTAGTAGTTAAGTTAAAAATTATATATAATCATATAGCCTCTGCTCAATGTTTGGTTATTTCTTATTTGTAAAAATTATATTATAATTATTTGCAATTACTGTCACTAAGCTTTATTATTACTAATTGCTAATAAAGCTATTTTCACTTGTATGCCACAATGGCTGACAAAGTGGAATGCAGATAAAAAGGGAAAAAACCTTGCAATGAAATGTTAATGGAGCATTGAATAGACTTGTTTTTTGGGGTGATTTTTTTGTCAATGTATACTAATGAAAAATTACTCTGAACCATTGCTTTCTTTTTTCAATTTAAAGCATGAAAACTATATGCTACTTTTGCTGCATTATAGTAACAAACATACAGCCAAACACTACTTACAACAAAGTAAAAATGAGATTTCCCAATCAGGATTGATGGATACTTTGAGCAAGTTCATCATAAAATCTAAATGCATCTTATTTTAGATTTTAGTAAAGAAATAAAATAGTTTTATACTGATAGAAATCTCATTAGAGATAAAAGATTTGACTATTTTTGATTTAGCTACACTTCCTAATTTGATAGAGATCAGAAATGTACTAATTTGAATGGATACAGAGTTTGAATAAAAGGTTTCCACTACATTGCAAAATCTCTGCATAACAAAATCCCAAATGATAGTAAAGCATAACACAGATCACTGGTTCTCTTTTATTACAATAAACACATTCTTGTGCTTATATATGAAATATTACACATGTTATGTATGAAATAATTTCAGTTCAATATATCTAATAATTACAATAAACAGATTCCCATTACTCTACACATTGCATATTAATATGACAGAAAAATAAGTTATTTATGCTCATATAAATATTCTAACAGTATAATCCATCTTCAACCGGGTGTTTCATTACTGGGAATTTTTGCCATTCAGTTGGAGCAGTTTAAGTCTAAAGTCAGCCCACCCAAAAATCAGTATTAGTAACAACAATTATGTGCAACTGAGGCACATCCCCAAATGGGGGGTGGGTTAACAATTTGAATGGGAGGTGGCCCTGAAAATGGCCATTTTTGTGTTCTCAATCTTGCAAGGAAGGAACCTCTTCCATGAACCATCATAATAATACAATAATTTTTATTTATAATATAATTTTTTTTTATAATTCTAATAATCTTTTGCATTAGATTTCAACTCTCTAAATTGATTGTACGTGTTTTTTTTTTGTTTTTTTTACAGACATTAAATTTTGCCTTTGATTTTTGCGCAGAGTGTAAATAAAATCAGTTTTTTCGATTTTTCACCTTCAAGGTTGTAATTTTTTCCAATTTGGACTCAAAACCGGCACTGAAGAATTATCTATCAAACAAAAAAAAATTTAATTGAAATCGGATGAAAACTGTAGAAACACATAAACAACATACATACACACACACATTTTGAGAATTATAGATATAGATATCCAATGAAAATCATAGCTATCTCAAATAGGATGAAGGTATAATTTTAATAGCAAATTTCTGAAAGTTCCACATTTCAAAATGACTATATATTTACTTTGTCACATTCATTCCTATGCAGTTACACTCTAGCACACAATGCCATTACAGATTGGCAAGAATCCAGCAAGCCTGAGACAATGGTATACACATCAGTGACAGATGGTTAATTCATGTGGACCAAACATAGCAAAGAGATAAGACAGAAAGAAATGTGGATTTGGCAAGGATGGATGGAATACGGGTTGTACATCACTTATACAAAAGTAGGAGGAAGCTATTTTATTGCATTCAGAAAATCAATAACCAAAATAATGTTTGCTTTATAAAAGCTTAGAGATAAATAGGATGACAAGGACAATCTGAGGCTAGCAATTTTAAGTCAGCAATGGTCCGATGATATACAGAATTAAGAAACTAGAACTGATCTGAAAAAAAAAAAAAAATTGAGTTTAAAAGTAAGAAGATCATTCTGAGCAAATGATGGATGTTATCAGTTTATCAAAAAATCTTCTTTTTTTTCTATTGCATTATAAAATAATGGTCTTTACTGAGCCATCTTGGATAAGAAATGAATTATAACTACTTCCAAATTAAAAAATGATATTGATAACCAATATCACAGGAGATCATTTTGAATATGCCACAGATTTAGAATTTTTTTTTAATTTTTATCTTACATAAAAATATTTACCTTACACATTCTGATTGCTAGCAAACAGCAATCTAAATGAAGCTTAAAATATTTTTGAATTGTCTTTTCCATATCATCAAAGGAATAGGCTTTGAATTTAACCTCAAGAAGGCTGTTTTAATGACAACAAAGCACAACTTAACATCCAAAAAGATAGAAAAAGAAAAAAATGATTAAGTGACTGATGTTGTATATTTTGGTCATAAGCTAACTTGAAAGACAAAAACAAAGTTTCATCAAACAACAAAGAAGTTTCAGTAAACCATCAAATAAGCCTTCATCATCATCATCATCATCCTTAACCCTCCCTGTGGTTGTTCAGAACATTATTAACAATCCCTCTCCACACTGATCAGTCCTGAGTCATGGTGTCTTGGAATAAGCCTTAAGAGGGTTGCATTTGAAAAGATATAAGGCTATGACGAAATCAATACCAATACACACTAAAATGAAGATATATACATTTTTCCAGTAGTTTTATATGGTTTTTATTGAGTGACATTGACTCAAAAACTCAAATTTAAACATTCCAAAACCATATGTGCATCATCACAGATCACAAGCTGATAGATAAAGTAAAAGGTATGCTTGAAAATGAATAGCTAGCTATTACATTAAATATATATATATTATATATATATATATATATATATATATACACACACAAACACCCAAGTATAGGATTGGTGTATACGGAATAAATTCCAATAACCAACAAATATTCTTAAGAGTGTTCAATACAGAGTAGAGCAAATATAATTATTTATTCGAAAATTATAACATAAATATGTTATAAAATCACTACAAAAATAGACATTTTGTTTTAACACTTAAAAGGTTTTTAAAAAAAACTTTTATTATACATTCAACACCATCACTTGATAAGACACCAGAAGTATTGAAACAAAATGGCTATTTTTGTAGTGATTTTATAACATATTTATGTCATAATTTTCAAATAAATAATTATGTCTGTGTGTGTGTATGTGTGTTCAATTCTAGTGTAGTTAATTTGCACATGACATAAAATTTTACGCATTATACCATGGAGAGGGGGGTATTAATAAAACTGGCTACTAGGTCTCATTGTCTTACTGTTGAAATCGCTTAAGTTCTATTCTAATAGTTTCTTTTCTTGCATTTCTTACCTGTAGAACTCTCTTTGTCATCTACAATCTTCAACAATGTATAATATATAATGTCAATCGACAATTGCTTTGAATATTTTTGCCACATGTGGTCTGATGCTTCTGCTATATATTTAGAGATTATTGATGAAATCCAAAGAAGAATCTGCAATGTTACTGGTCCTGACACCTAGTATCTCAACTTTACTCACTTTCCCACTGCCATAACATAGCTTACCTGTACCTTTTCTATAAATACTTTCAGAGTAATTGTTCTGATGAATTTTTCTCTTTGGTACCGAGACTTTATGAATTTAAGCATAATACAACTATTTGCAAGGTCAAATCATTTTACTGTTGAAATTGATAGACATAACCATAAGTTCTACGCTAACAGTTTCTTGTCACACAGCTCTCTTGTAGAACTCTCTTTTGGCTTCTTGTTTCCCAGTCAAATTTGATCTTCAAAAATGTAAATGTAAAGTCAATTGTTATCTTCTGTCTTCTTAATTCCTGTTCTTTTATTGTTTTCTCTCTTCTTAATGTTTTTTCTCATATTCTCTTAAACACAGTAAATCCCTTGCATCTTAGTGGCTTTATTGCTTTTCCTGAGGTGAAATGGTTTAAAAAAAATATTAATTAATGATATAATACACAACTGATGCAATTTTCTGACAAGAACATTAATTCTTTAACATTCAGTTAGATTTTAGCCAAATAACTATATACAAGGATATTGCCTGACATGTAGATATTAGCAGATTTTTTTTATCTTAAACATACACTGTATAATTTCTGATCTATATGATTAATGGAGAAACAGATTTAACTGCTTTGATAAGGAAGGAAATATCTGTTGTATAAAATAAACAGTTTTTCTCATCATTATGCTGTGGACTATGTATACTTTTCATAACTTTCTTTGTACACTATCATTTTTTAAGCATATGCAATCCAACAGGCTTGTTAGTGAAAGCATTAGCATTCTTTATATGTATCCCAGCAATAGATAAAAGGAAAAAAGACTACAAAAATATAAGGAGATATTTAAATATCTCCTTATATTTTTGTAGAATACAGAGATCTCTTCAAATCAGCTGGTAACTAAACTCCTAGTAGTTGGATTGAATAATGCTAGTAGCTATGTAATATGTAAGAACAAATCAACAATGGAGAAAAAATGCAAGAAAAAAAAAATAACAGTTCTACTACAAACTAGTCATGTTCTTTGGATTTTAACCAAAAAACATAAAAACATAAGCCGAGTTTTAATATGGAAGGTCCTCCTATTCATGAAATTTGTGCATACAAATTTTGATGAAACTTATTCAAATGGTTGTGGTTATTCAACTAAGCTCACAAACTATCAATAATTTAATTATATTGTTTCAGATTTGTTGTGAAATAAATCACAAAAAATAAAATAATACCCATAAATATCCATGTAGAAACTTAGTATTTTTGACAAAGCTTTTATTCATAGCATAATTATTCAGTCAAAGTATTTTCATTGGCTTTCTATGACTTTACATCACCTTTCAATTAAACTATATTCTCTGTCTGAACTTCTGTGAATTTATCATTATTTACATTGTTCTCATCTTTTTTGTTGTTATCACAATGTTGTGACTGTTGTGTCCTCCAGCTTTTACAAAGTGTTTGTCATTCTGAATAACCTTCAGATAACTTCTAACTGAACCTTTCATTTAATACACAGAAATAGATTAAATAAATTTTCAAGTATTTTACCAAACATATTTAAAAGTATTTTATCTGTGCCATAAAAAAAATGACAGAAATATTTCAGTTTTTAATATTCCATAAATACATTACAATTACAAAATTACTATGTATTATCCGGGTGATCAAAATAATTTAAGACAAATTATGGCATTTTATTTGACAAATTAAAAATAACAAGCTTTATCATCAGGAGAGTTAATTACATAGAGATAAGCAATCTATGCATCCAGGTAGAAAGGTATTATATACACTACAGAGTTACATTAAATAAAGGGTTCATTTTAATGTTCTCTGAAGGTTACATGGCAAGACAAACATCTGATGAAGGCCAGAGGGCATAATGGTCAAAATGTTGTGATAAAAACAAAGATGAGGACAATAGTCCATATGTTAATGTAAACAATCTATATTCTATCATAAAGAAAATCTTAATTTTGAATCAATTCTTTGAGGAATTTTTTAATATTTTGAAATTTTAATAATTATTGACCAGACAAATAGTATTGCATGATGTAAAACAAATGAAATTCTAAAGGTGACAGGTTTGGAGAATCTGTCATATGGGAAAACTTTCCATCTCAAGTCCATGATTATTCACTGCATCACATGAAACAATGATGGATATTGTCAGGCAGTAAAATTAATTTCTTGCCTCCCCACCCAACAATTATTTTCTCATCCAATGCATCTTTCAAACAAACTCCAAATAAAATATCCTCTTTGAATCATGCCAAACAGAGAACATTTTCCTTAGTAATTTTGTTTTGGGTGAAATGTTGAAAACTGCCCTGGAACTAGTCATGATTCTCATATTAAAAGTAATTTTTCATTGTTAGTGACTCTCTCATCCAAAATGGCCTTTTGCCATGTTAAGCAGAAGATGAGTATTTTAATACTTTTAACTTCATGAAGAATCCATTTTCCTAATTTCTGAATTTTTCCAAAGATTTTTAAATCATATATTACTGCTGACTGAATGCACAATCAATAAAGAGCTGAGCAGACACATCTAAAATTTTCCTAACATTGTACAATAGATGAAACTGGGAATGTTTGTATCAACTTAATAGTTAAAAATAACCCGAGAAATCTTCAATTCAAGAATAAGCTCAATCCATAAAGGATTGGAAAATGTTTAACAGAAATTTAAGTCCATCATCTAGACATTAATAACTAATTTGTACAAACAGAAAAATAAAACATGTTTTATCGTGTCTCAGGATAGCATTGATTGTTGAAGAATAATTAAAATTCAAATGCAGATACATAATAGTTATAGTAGTTGAATATATTTGG